ATGAAGTAATTTGAATTGAAAGAATCTTGAACAACTTGAAGTTGCTTGCACATTCTAAATGTAGGTTTGTGGGCATGTATAGTCCTGTTTCTTCTTCATTGTGTGATAACAGACTCAACTGCACTCAGGAGCAAGCTGTTAAAATTTGTCAATGTAAAGTCAGTGTATAAAAAGCAGATAGCTCAGTCTGGGTGATGAGGGGAAATTAGTTAATACATAGAAAACGTGGACTATTTGACAGCTGGCACCACTTGCAGGAGCTCAGGGAAAATGGGTGAGGAATTATCAAGGCAGCTGCTGTATGGTTCAGACCTGAGAAGTTTCTATATCCCTGCTCTTAGTCCATAGCAAGAGTTGTATCTAACAAACTGTGGAGCAAAAGAGAGGTCTGAGGTAGTGGTGGGAAAGCTTGTACTGTCAACTTTTGTCCCTTGGCTGAGGTGCAGTACCTTGTTCAGCAGTGCTTCCTGACATCCAATAGGTGGAAGCCTTGTGCATTAATTGCAAGCTGGGAGAGAAAAACCAGTGCTTTGCCTTGTGAAAAAATTAAAACTGTCAAGGTTTTTCCTTCCACAAGTGAAATGGGGTTGGACTAGATGATCTTTTGAGGTCCCTTCCAACCCCTATGATTCTATGAAATGAAAACTAATTACTTTTTTTATTATTTGGGCTTATGAAATGGTGAGGTTTGATTTAGTTTCACTGCTACTTAACTGATTCAGTGTAGTTTGCTAAAATTAGTGTTGCTTCAAATCTTGTAACTGTTTTTTTTAACTAAAGATGCAAGTTTGTTTCTGTGAGAAACTTTCAGACAGCTTTCGTTAGTACTTCTGAGTTGGGGAAACATTTGGTGTCCTTCCCACATAACATAACATAACATAACATAACATAACATAACATAACATAACATAACATCTCCTCTGCCCTTTTCTAAGGTTGATGAAGATCTAGTAAAGAATTCAGGCAAGTTTTTGGTCCTGGACCGCATGCTTCCAGAACTGAAAAAGAGAGGACATAAGGTAAAGCTAATGATTTGGGGGGGGGGGGAATGTAATTGTCTCTTTATGACTAAAAAAACAGTACTAAAGAATCTTCCTGGGTTTGTAGGTGTTGTTGTTCTCACAATTGACTATGATGCTTGACATTTTGATGGATTACTGCTATCTTAGAGACTTCAAATTTAGTCGACTGGATGGCTCTATGTCCTACTCAGAGAGAGAAGAAAATGTAAGTAGATGTACATGCCCTTTGAGCCTCTTAGCAAACTGTTTGTTCCTGTGACACTGGGATGTGATTTTGCACAGCATTTAGCCTTTAATAGACAAAACCCTTCTGTGTTGAAAGCTGACATTTTTGCTGCCTCTTTAATTCCTGCAACCCAAAAATACTGAAGCAATTAATTGTTACTAACCAATATCTTGGGGTGTGCCTAGAATGATGGGTGTTCATGTGCTCTGTTACCCAGCTGTGAAGTATATCTAGATTGTGCAGATGCTGATCCCAGTTTTAGCACTTCACATATTTTTTCCTAGCCTTCAGAATGTGATGCCAGCATCTGTGGGAGCATACTGTAATTCTAATGCCAAATGAAGTAGATTTCCAGGAAATGGGAGTTTGTACCTAATGGGAGACCTGTAACTTCAGCCTGAAATTGTTCATGGATTTGTTGCCATGCAATCCTTTGTTCTTGCATACTTGTACTGGTTTCAAATAACTGCCAAATGCCTTACTACTGAGGCATATATTTATCATGAAGAGCAGCCAGGCAGTGTGGTTCTTGGAAAGCTTTGAGTGTTTGCAGGGATGTAAAAGAGCAATGAATACATGGAGAAAAGTACACAGGATCTATCTAGGGGATGAGCTGCAATTGCTATCTGGTCTCCAAAGTTATGTGCTAGTGTTCATGACGATACAGAAAAACAATGGCAGATGAGAGATCATCTAGCTCAAATTATGCTTCCCTTTATCTTCATTCCCCCCTCCCCTTTTTTTTTTATGTGTGTGGCTGAGGAAAACCAAACTCCTAAATGCTTAGGTTGCTACTGTTTGCCTTTCCTCTTAAAAGAATCAGCTCTAACTAGCAACAAACATATCAGCAAGCTACAGTGACCTTTATTAAGCTGGTGAAATTTTGTACTGCTGGCTTGCAGGGATTTTTAGGAGTTGATTGTGTGCTTACCACAGTGTTGTATGGGTTCAGGGTGAGAGACATCTTCCATGCCACCAGAAGTTCAGCAAGGCTATTCCCAGCTCAGTGACTGCTGCTGATTCTGCAGGTGCTGATGTTGAGAAGAGCCCAGAGGATATGAGGCTTTTAGAGAGCTTGGGTAGCTGCTTCCATCTGACAGTGGGTTGATGGTTTCTTTTTCTCTGCTATGATCCAAGTCCTGAATTAACTGTACTCTTCCAGTTGTCTACCAGCATGTGGGTCATCAAAGCAGACCAGGTTTCGACTTGTATTGCAGACCTATTAGGAGCTGTGCTGACACTTGAAAACATGTTGTAGTGAAAGGCTAGATGTTTAGTTTTGAAGTAAGAGGGGCATGTATACAGGGTGGCTGGAAGTTATGATCAAGTTGGCATCAGTATTTTAGATTGTTGCTTGTGTCAAGAGGTAGAGGGTTTTAGGCTCTGACAGCTTCGACTTTGCTCAACTTGGAGAAGAAAATACCACTGGATGATAGATTGTGTGGATGAAGGTGAATGTGATTTGGACCATATGTCATATAGTAATTTCTACTTTGTGTTAGACAAGTCATGGGCTGGAATCTTCAGATAAGAAAATACAGTTGCTTCACTTCTTGCTCTTGTCCTGCCCCAAATGCAGGCAGTGTTTCTTAAATCCTTAGTTTGGCCTGTGACAGTGTGTGCTATATTCATACTATTAAGCATAGGTTCCTCAAAACATTAGCTACACTGAGTTTGATCCATCTGTTGTTTTCTTAATGGACAAATTCTCTTCCAGATGCATCAATTTAATACTGACCATGAAGTCTTCCTGTTCTTAGTGAGTACAAGAGCTGGAGGCTTAGGCATCAACCTCACTGCGGCAGACACGGTTATCATTTACGACAGTGACTGGGTATGCTGACAAACTGTTAACCTAATGATATATGTCATAAAGTGCTTTCTCTATTTTAGCTTTTTTGGTAATTGTTTACTAACCCTTTATGTTGTTAACAAGGTGTTACAGTAAGATAATAATAAGTAGTGTATACAAATGTGATATATATGTGATACACAGCCTCGTTTTAAAAGTCATAGCTTATTGAATGCAACATTGGAGTTGGTTTCCAAAACTAGCCTGTTTGCCCCTGAGTTACACAAAAAGCAGGAGGGATTTTTTTGTTACTGTTGAAGATGTATTTCTTTCTTTCAGTTTATTAAGTTTGAATGTAGCCAGACCTTCTACAGGTTCCCTGTTTCCAACAGCTGTGACATTAGTGGCAGCCCCTTGAATTTCCTCTGGTGACTTGCCTCCCGTGTTTTAGGTAGCTAGTACTCTGCTGCTTCTGTGAGTCTGGAGGCTGGGCAAATGAGTGTGAAAGGAAATGACCAGGGACCTCTGTGTCTTCACTTTATTTTAGTAGACAACTCTACTATTTCCATGACTATTCAGCTTCAGGAGAGCTAAAGCAACTTTAGAAAAGGCTGCAAACTTAAAATCCCTTTTCTTTGTCTCCAACAAAAATAAAGATAAACCTACAGCTAACACTCGTGGTTAAATCTGTGATACAGAACGTGTCCATCTGTTGACAACTGCAGCACATAACCAGCTCAGACTGCTTCTGCACTAAGTTACTTTTGGCTGTGCACCTACAGCAACAGAGCTTGGCATAGATGAGTTTAAGAGTAAAGAGATTTAGAGTCCTGTCATACCGTGGCTGCCCAGGTTATTGCTTTAGCTTTGACTCAGAGCTCACTAGTTAAAGTGCTGCCCGTAGTAAATCTCTGAAAACATTAATGGTGTGCAGCTGAATTGTTTCTTTGTCTGCTCAGAACCCCCAGTCGGACTTGCAGGCCCAAGACAGGTGTCACAGAATTGGCCAGACAAAGCCCGTTGTTGTTTATCGTCTTGTGACAGCAAATACTATTGACCAGAAGATCGTGGAGAGAGCTGCTGCCAAAAGGAAGCTGGAGAAACTGATTATCCACAAAAGTTAGTATCTTTTTCTTACTGCTTCTCTAAGCATAGGTTGATTCTTTTATCATTTAAAGAGATAACTCTTACTGATGTGTTTTGTGACTGCTTAGTATTTTTTTTACGTGCAAAAACCTCAGTTCTGCCAACGACTGGCTGTGTATTGTTGCTTTTCAGAATTGGCCAGACAAAGCCCGTTGTTGTTTATCGTCTTGTGACAGCAAATACTATTGACCAGAAGATCGTGGAGAGAGCTGCTGCCAAAAGGAAGCTGGAGAAGCTGATTATCCACAAAAGTTAGTATCTTTTTCTTACTGCTTCTCTAAGCATAGGTTGATTCTTTAAATCATTTAAAGAGATAACTCTTACTGATGTGTTTTGTGACTGCTTAGTGTTTTTTTTTACGTGCAAAAACAGTTCTGCCAATGACTGACTGTGTGTTATTGCTTTTCAAAATGCATTATTAGACACATCACAGGTAACTTCTGCAGCAAATTAGAGGTGAACACTTCAGAGGGGTGATGGGACTGTGAGCCTACCTGGAAGAAACACAGCTAAAACCAGGCAATAAGAGAGTAGAGCTCTGAGCCTGTTGGCAGCTTGTCAGAAAGACGACGGTTTATTTGACACAAATGTTTTTAGACTTTAAGCATAGAAAGTGCTGGGGGTAGGTGATGAGTCTAAGTTAATTACCTTTTTAAAAAATCAAATTAAGTGAACCAGAATATAAATGGAAAAGCAGATTAAAAAAATACTACTGCTTACAGTTTAACTTATAACAATTCTTCATTTGGAGCAATTTGTCTACCCAGTGACATCTACAGCAGTGTTTCATGATGTGATGTTTAGCAAGAGATGTTTCCAGTTGCACTAGCAAACTTGATGGAGTAGGGAATGTTCCTGTTTAAATTGGTAAAATGAGTGGAGACTATAGAAAGTTGGTTTCTAGGGAGTTGCTGCTAAACTCAGTTGAGGCTGCAGATACTAGAACTGTAAAATCACTGTACAAGATGTCAGTATCCTGTTTGCATCTTTCCTGAATTTAGAACAGTATGTTATAACCACAGTAGAATAGTCTTGTTTGAACAATTGGCCAGTGCCTAATAGAACACTAGTCCTGGGGTTTGTGTGCAGAACAATGGGGATTCCTCTTGTGTTCTTCATTATGTAGCTGGTCATACTCAAAAGGCTTTAGAAAGTGATTGGGGTGAAGTATCTGGTTTGGGGCAAGTTTCTCATTTGGGCACTACAGAAATCCTTTGCTTCTATAGCTTACTCTGTGATATGTGGGCAGTAGGCCCCTAGAGAATTTTCCAAACACTAACCTCACTTGAAAAAATACAACCATTCTTGTAACTTGATATGGAACTCTGACAATAATTACCTGTATATTAAGTTTTAAAGGCACTTAAGAACTTTGTATAGTATAGGAAGGGGGGAGACACCAAACCACCTTTCATGTGGTAGAAAGGCCACACCTGGAACTCTTGTCTACAGCACAGTGCACTGTTTGTCAAGCCTAAGCTGTGGTTTGCCATTAGTTTTGAATGATGTTAGCTGATCCTTGTTAGATGCTTCCTTTATCCCAGCTTTGGCCTTTTTCTTTGTAATCTGCTCACCACTGCTGTCTTGGTGTGACTGCCAGGACTACTGTCTGACTCCTTGTAGGCATGTTAATGACAATGTTAAGAAAAATTTGGGTTTTAATGATTTGATTATGGTCCAACCTGAAAGTGACAAGATGAGTGCATGAAACAGAATGGGTTTTAATAGTAGATGACTCTCATACAGTAAAGTACCAATGGGAACTGGAACTGGTTGTACTGGAAGGAAGCTAAGTGTCAAGCTGGGTCATGCCTTCAGTTTTGCAGTAAGTTGAATATTTATTTTGGTAACTATTGATGAATCATATCTAAATCTTGCAGCTTAGGTATGGGTGTCCCCTCCAGGAACCTTTGGATCCAGTGTGTAAATGTAAAGTAATGAAGCCTGTAATTTTGAATATCTAAAAAAAGGTTTGGAACTTTGGAGGAGTGAATGAGGAAAGGATATCACGAAGCTTTCTTAAATTAAGGCCTTTCAGTGGTGTCTAACCATTTAGGGTGTGTCCAGTACAAGTCCTGGAGCTTAAGAACTGGAATTTGTTGCAAAACAATGCTTTTTTAGCCTCACCACCAGGTTACCCTTCCTATCTTGTGCTTCTGTTCTAGTGAAGAAAGCTGCCTAGGAAACTTTATGAGAACCAGCACAATTTTAGTTGAATTAGTAGACGTGAGACTAAGAGGAAGTGATGGACCCAGACTTCTATTTAAAGTATTAAGGGTTTGATAGGGTCTTCTGTACTTTTCTGTGTGTCAGTATTGCAACCCAAGACCTGTACAGCACTCATTCAATGCAATATAGTGTGTGAAACTCTGAAAACTGAAAGAGAGAACATCACTAATCATGCATAACAGGGTCTGGATTCTGTGTGTCACAGCAGGAGAGGTGAGGGGTGGAGGCAATCCCAGAGCTCAAACCCCACTTGAGCTTGCATGTGATTTGCACATCACAGACCAACAGCCAGTCTTTGGAGGAGGTGGGAAAAGGTGTGGGGAGAACTTCTGAAACAAAGACACAGGAAAGAGTAGAAGTGAGTGCAGTGAAAGGGATTGATGAAGACTCACTAATAAAATGAGTCTGTGTGTTGATAAAAACTGAGGAAACTTGGCACAGGGCAGTAAGCCTTGCCTGCCTCCTTGAAATGTACAAGACTGAGCTTGATTTCATGCTCAGCTTTAGTTTGATAATAATCTTGTATAATTTTTAAAAAACATTTGGGCTGACATCCAGATTTGTTGATAAGCATTAGCATAATCCCTTCAAGAAACCAACCTGTCAGGTTTATTACTTTGTCATGTCTATAGTCCATTAAACTAAGGGATGTCTTCTCTGTAAGCCACATCTGTCACCTATTTCCTGTCTTGTGGTTAATACTGCTTACTTTGTTTCAACCAGCCTACAATGCAAAGGGAACAAACTTCAGCATCACTCTTCTAACTTTAGTTACAATGTTTTTACTGTAAGTAGAACTAACAGCTTTTCTGCTCTGTGTGTGTGTGTGTGTGCATGTTGAATTGGTGTTTCAGTTGTATACTTCTGCATACTACAGTTAGAAGGTGAAAAGCCTGCATGTGAACTCTTCATGTACCTCTGACTTTTTTAGACTGCTGGTGTGTTAAGGTGTGTTCCCCTAAGGGCTGAAGCAGTGAAACATGGCACTAGTTCTGATGTGCAAGAGAATCTGTTGGATATGTGCATCTGGCATCTATTTAACAATTTACAGACTTTGCTCCTGTCTCTTGTCTACTTTCTTAAAATTTCTTCTTTCTGCAGATCAGTTTAAAGGTGGCAAATCTGGTCTAGCACAGTCAAAGAGCTGCTTGGACCCTCAGGAATTAATAGAATTGCTGAAATCCAGAGACTATGAGAGGTATGCAGATTTCCTGTTTTTCTTGGACTGTGAGTTTCTAACTTTGAGTTTGCAAGCAGCTGTCAATAGCTGTCTTGTCTTATGAAGTGGTCTGTGGATCTTCATAGCAGGAAGAATGTCCTAGGGTTTCTGCTGTGTGGGAAGACTGACTTCTATGCAATACTCACAGTAACATGCATTAAGAGATTACTTCTTCCTCAACAGGGAGGTTAAAGGATCTAGAGAAAAAGTAATCAGTGATAAAGACCTAGAGTTACTCTTGGATAGAAGTGATCTTATTGGTAAGTCAGTTTTCCTCTGTTTTTTCTCCTGTTCAACCATAAATTCATATTTTGTAAGAGTGTTTATACTTGGAGAGCTGCCATAGCTTCAGTTCTCTACAGCTGTGCTGTACACCTTTGATGTTTCCAGTAGGATACAGAATGATAGAATCCTTTAGTTTGGAAAAGACCTTTAAGATGGAGTCCAGCTGTAAGATCATGGGGTCCAACCATGAGTCCAACCATTAACTTGCTGAAGAAGTAATGGCAGAGCTTATGGAGAAAACCACATTCATGCATAGTGTGCCCTGAGCATACTGTGAATGAAAAGCACAGATCAGGGGGTGTTCTACAAAACAGCTTTCCCTGTAAGTTGCTGTAACTGATCCAAATAAAAATTCTTGCCAGAAAATAACTATTTCAGCAAACTTTAAAAAAAAAAACCCCTGTTTTTAAACTATCATAAGTCAAAATATAGTCTAACAATTTTTTTAAAAAAATAAAATTAATTTTTCAGAGTTGCCATGGCTTGTCTATGGATCAAATGGTTTCAAAATATATTTCTTTTTAAGAAGCTGCAAATTCTAGTGCTTAATCAGGCCAAAATATTTTAAAAAAAAAACCCTTAACTTTCCTGAGAAAGGGAAAAAAAAAAATATGTCCAGTTAGTCTAAACTAGATTTAGTATTTTTTGTTTCCTTCAGCATCTTTAGGAGAAATAAGCCTCAAAGTATAGATACAAAAAAAAATGACTTCTTACAGAATTGAGAAGTAAAAATGGTAGCTAGGCTTAAATAAGTGATATGTATAGTTGAGTAAAATAACTTTACTTTGGGAGAAGTGTTGCTGTACTTTAAAAAGATTATCTAAATTGTTTTATAAAACTTATTTCAATTAAGTGGCTGCTAATCTAGAAAATTATTCTTTATGCATTGATAATACAGTCTGCCTTTATAAGTTCAGGCTGTGAAACAAACTGATCTCTCCTTTCAAGCTGGAGAAGGTACCATTTATTTTGTAGCAAAATTAGTATAGTAAAAATAAAAAGTTTATAAAAAGATATTAGTGCAGCATTAGGTACTGAATATTTACACTACACTGAATATTATACTACAGCTAACTGCTGTTAATGCTTTAGAAACTGAAATGCCACTTCCCTGTAATACATAATCATCAAATTTTATATAAAAACAATAGTCATCAGTTTCATATTCAATGGAAGGGCAACAGAGTGATAGCAAGTAGTAGGAAAACAAGATGTAGGTCTTTGAACTTAAGAAAGTTGCTTAGCAGAGCTGTAAACTTGTTCCTCTAGTGACATCACTAAGTAAGTTGACTGCATTCTGTTGCCTTCTGAGGGAAACAAGAGTAGTTCAGGCATATTTTAAGACTGCTTTTCTCCATTTGGATTTAGCCAAAAGTGTTGGAATTTTTTTTTTTGTTAAGGTACACAACTGAAAACTATTTTCAAGCACAAACTTTTAGTAGCAATGTGTTGAGAAAGGAGCAAAATGATTTTATCAACCTTTTTTCCAAATCTAAACCAAAATACTTAGTGTTTATATCTGCAACAGCAGGGTTGCAGACTTTTTACCAGTTACTGTTGATCTTTGTTTTGTTTTAATCCTAGATCAAATGAAGACCTCTGAAAACATGAAAAAGGAAAAGATGGGTGTATTTAAGGTCCTAGAAGAATCTTCAAATTCCAATGCAGAATGTGTGTTTTAATGTGCAGATGCAGCCTGGAGTCTTACAGGATGAACATACTGCTGACATTGGATCTCTCAGAAATGTTGCTTACCCCTGCTGATCTTTTATGCTGACTTTCTTTAAGCCATTTGTTCAAATCCCTTGTGTTCTTTCAGTGAATTTTAACATGTTCTGCAGTGTAATGCAGGTGATAGTTTCATGTTGTAGCTTTGGTAGGCTCCCATAAAGCGTTAAGAAAATGAGCATATTTCACATTTGCAGCTAACTCTTGTGATCAGTGTTAAAAACTGACAAATTTGTTTAAAAAAGGAAAAAAAAAAAATCATCTTCCTGTGGAAGTCCTAAACCCTTTTTTTCATACGGTGTCAATGATGGTTTTATTTGGAAGGGAGACAATATGTACCTGTGTTACATCATTTGTGTTCTGTTTTTAACTTCTGCAAATTATTTTGATGCAATAAATGTTTTGTTTCTCCTAAACGTTTAGGTTTTTTTAGCAGAGCTTCTTAAATAATTGGAGCTTATGTTATGTCTGTTGACTCGCTCTCCCTACATTCTCACACGTTTTTAAAAGAACAAAAATGCAAACTAAGAAAAAGAAAATCCAACCTCCCTATCCCCCCCAAAAAAACCCCACACTACCACCACTCACCCCCCTGGAAAAAAAAAATTTAAAAAAATTAAAAAAAAAAAACCACAACAACCCCACAAACCCCAGGGAGTTTGAAAGAGCTCAAAACCCCCTGTATTTTTTGGTGCAGAGCACTTGTGTTGCCTGGCTTGGCAGCTTGCACAGCTGGGGTGCTGGTTTTGGGCCTGTGGAGGGAGCTGAGGTCCTGGAAGGGGAAGATGCCTCGGGGTGGGGGTGCCTGTGGGTGCTTCCTGGGAAGGGAGGGTTTGAACCTACAGCGAGGCAGAAACGATGGGTGAAGGACATCAGTTCCATGTGTAGCCTCTGGGAGCCAGCTGTAAGCAGTGGTTTTCAACTTGCACATCAGATAGCTTTTAAACTTCCAGTTCTAATTGGTGAAAATGTCTTCTAGTTGTACTTAGAAGCTGCAGCCATGGAATTGCAGCTGGAGCTGTCACGGGCGCAGTTACGCCAAGGCACAGGTCACATGGAATAAAATCAGATCCTACCTCATCTATCAGACTGTGGAGACTAATTTCCAGGCACTTTATGATTGTTCTTACTCTCCACAGAGTAATCTGTTAGTCATCTGATTCAGAAAAAAAATATTTTCCATTAGTGAGAGACTTTTATCCTTACCTCTATAAAGAAACCAATAAAAACTGTTAAATTATGAGGTAGGCTGGCTTTGACCTTTGCCTGTTTCTAACTACTGAAGGCAAAAGTTTCTACCTTTTCTACTTGGTTACTTATTAGCCTGAATAATACAAAGTCCACCCTGTGCTGTCTCCACCCATTAAATTTGCTCAGCTATGCTGATCTCCTCGATGCATCATTTTACACTAGTGAAGACTTGCTACAAGATTTAGGAGTAAATGATAAATCTACAATAGTATCTAATTGGAATAATTGTTAAAGGATTTAATAATAGTAACTGGCATAACTGCTTCCACACAGACTTACCTAACTTTTGAAGCCCTGACTCTACCTGGCTGCCACTGCAGGGCAAGGTGGTGGAAAATAATGAGTGAGTTTCTGTTGTATAGGCAGCACAGCTAGGATTTCATAGTAATTGCTGCCTTCCTAAAAATGCATAAAGCAGCATTAAAGCAGCCCTCCTTTCTAGAGGTGGGGCAGGTCCACAAGTAAATGCAGTAATGACAAGGTGAGGATGCTGGGGGGCAGAGAGGGAAGGGCATGGACTGGTGCTAACAGTTTTAAATAGTCCTGTGTGAAATAATGTCCTGTTAATTGTCCATTAGGGGGAGAAAATGTTTTTCAGCAGATACCAGCCAAGTTCTTGAAGCATCGATTTGTCCAGGTGACTTTGAAGAAGTGTTCCTGTCCCATATATACCTATATACCTTGTTCCTCCTGTTGAGGGTGTCTGTGGATATTTTAGTTGAGACCAAATGCATGGACAGAAATCTGGGGTCTCAGCTGGCTTGTGTGTTGCTCCTGTGTGTCTTTTTGCAGGAGTTTTGTTTGTTTTAATTTATTTAAATCTGGTGAGCAAGCTTTTACTAGCTAGGGAGGGCTGGGGAGAGGCTGATAATGTTTTTTTTCAGTGATGACAAGAATAAGTGGGGTAAACTTCTCTCTGTTAGAATCTATGGAATGGTATTTCACCAGCACTCCAATGCACATTCCATCATTTGGATGTTTTTACTTACCTGCCTAGCCAAGGTGACGTTCAGGCTGCCAAGACTCCTTCACCTTGCCAACAACCTGAGCTTACACAGAGTTGCTGTTAGCAAATGAACCTTAAAAGTGCAAGCTGGAGCAACTGGTCGTGGTGCTCAGTGTTTCGCTGGGGGGGAGGGTGGTGTGGGGTGTGAGGAGGAGACAATGAGAGGTCTGTTTTGATGCTCTTAGTTCAGGTTTGGTTGGGTTTATTTTTAAATCCTTTTCTATCTATCTGCTTTATCACCTGGAGGCCAGCTCTACTGAGTCACTGCCAGCAGTGGGGTCTCTTTAACTGTGTATACAGCTTTAAAAAAATAAAACAGTGTTCTGAGAAGGGAGATGATGTGATTCTGTGTCCCACCCAGCCCTCTTCTCCAGCCTGCCCTGGCCCATGGCTCATGCTTTTATGCTTGTGGCTCTCCACACTGCAGCTGAGGCTGGCACCCTGTGCTGTGTGGAGGGTGCTCCTGTAAGTCAGCTGGGAGCAGCAACACCCAACCCTTGCCTGCTCCCCAAGGAGAAAGGGGAAGGGTGCTGCCAGGAAGAGGCTGCAGCCAGAAACTCAACTAATCATCTGTTAAAAAATGATAGGTGGTGCTTTGTGCTGTGCTGCACCCCTACCTGAGGCAGTCTGTTCCTCTTTGGCAGGATGCTCACTCACTTACAAACCACCAGAAACTTCAGAGAGGAACCTTTTATTTATTATCTATCATCTATCTTACAGTATTAACTTCTGGAGCAGGCAGCTGTGTGGTTGCAGGCATGACCTCATTTAACCTATTTTGTCATTGTTGACAAACTCCAGATGCAAGCTATTAAACTCCAGAGGAATTTGGAAAGTCAGACTGGAAGTTGCCAAGTATTTCATCCTGCATCATAAAAATCGAATAGTTTGCTATTCACAGCAGAGAGCAGTGGAAATCCTCCCCAAGTAATGACTGCATTGCCTCGGCTAGCCTGTTCCCAGAGTAATAAATTAATTGGCTCAACATTGGTGTCTGCACTAGAAACCTGCAGCTCCAGAGCTACTCTCCAAACCTTCTGTAGTTCCCGGCTCCTGCGTCAAGCCCTGCACAACGGGTGTTTTCCCAGCAGTGCTGCCAGCCTGGGCTGCAGGAGCTGGGCCAGGTGATAAAGCACAGAGGCCGGGACACAGCAGGGCTTGTCATGTTTGCAGGGTGGGGAGGGGAGGGGAAATGCCAGGCACGGGTCAGGCTCTGCCGTCCTGACACACACCCCACCCCCCGACTCAAGAGCAACCTCACGCGGTTGTCTGTAGTGAGCCACGTTTTGCTGCTGGCCAGCTGTAGAGTAGGAAAACCTTGGGTGACGTGGCACATGCTGGGAGGGCTCAGCCCATGCTCTGCTGTTGGAGTGCAATACACCAGCTGATGGCCCAGTGGCCAGCATTTTCTTCCTGCAAGGCAAGACATCCATGGGCCAGGAGCCCCCAGCACGCTGAGAAAGTGGGTGGTGAGGAGTGTGGGGGTGCAGCCACGGTCCCACAGCAGGGCCTGAGCACTCATGTGAGGTGCAGCCAGCGTGGTCTGTTCCTTGCAGGTTTACCCCCCCAGCCCTGCAAGCCTGTGCTCTCCACTGCTGCCCTGGCTTTGTGTCCAGTCTGTGGCTGGCAGCGTTGCAGCACCAAGCGGCCTTCCCC